ATCAATCTTTCTCTTCAATATCCAAGCTCAACAATGGTGAAACCCTCACCTTCTCTCTCTAAACTACACTAATCCTAACCTAAACTTAGAGAGTTAGAGAGAGAAGCTCTCCTAAAAACTGATTAGAGAATTGTATAAATGATAATTGTTCCCCCCCTCTTTAATTACCCCAAAATTGGGTATAAATACAAAGCTAATAAAACTAAGAAAATAATAGAAAAGAAAATAAAATGAAAAGGAAAAATAAATAAAGAAACTAATTACAAAAAATAAAAGAAAGAAATAAGAAAAGGGGGAGGAAAAGAAAAATAAAATAAAAAGAAAAAAAAAACCAAAATCAAATCCCCCTAAAACCAATCAGACGCTTTTTTTTCCTCCTTCACATTTGGCTGCATGAACTCCATTGAAGCGCATCTTCATCACCACCGTTCATCAACTCCATCAATGGCTATCATCGCTTCAACCTTCAATATCAACCGTTCGATCTTATTAAACATCATGTGCGAAGCTCGTGAAATGGTTCGGTCGAACCTTGGGTTGGTCTGGCCGAACTACGAGGTTGGTTCGGTCGAACCATGGGTGTGTTCGACCACACCTCTTCAAATTACAAAACTTCAAAAGTTTATGACTCGCACTTTAACGAACTCCTATGCGGTTTGCTCCAACCCGATTGATTTGCTTTTTGCTCTGATTTTGGGCGCTTGATTGAAGGGTTGAGTAATTGCGGTGGATGCGAAGATTGGGTGGCTAAAATTGAGTGGTTGCAGCGGTGGTGCGGTGCGCGGAGAAGTGTATTGAGGTGGCTGGTGCTGGTGAATTCGGGGGCTAATGGGTTGGTGTGAAATGGTGGTGGCACTGTGGTGATTTGGTGGTAGATTGGAGGTGAGTGCGGTGGCGATGGTTGTTGGGTAGGTGGTGATTGATGGCTGTTGGGGATAGGTGTAGCGGGTGTGAGGGCTACAATATGTGGAGGTTGTTGTTGCGGTGTGGGCTGTAATATGCGTGGAGCAGGGGAGTTGTTAGGTGGGTGGAAATGGGAGTAATTTGAGCTGGGTTTGCCGGTGGTGTTGGTGGCTGACGATGGCTGCGTGGTGGTGTTTGCCAGGCAGCATTGCTGATGGTTATTGTTGTGGAGTGACACTAGTAGAAAAATACAAAAAGGCAACCCCCAAATGGCACCGATTCAGACCAAACCGGTGCCAAAAACCGCCCTAAAAATGGGCGGGATTTTAAACCAAGAGTAATGGCACTGGTTCAGATTAAACCGGTGCCAAAAATACAAAGGGAACCGGTTTGAACCGGTGCCACTGAACCGGTCCAAGGTTTTTAGGAAAAACCGGAACATTAAAACCCTAAAACCCTTATAAGCTTCGATCTCCTTATCTCTCCTCCTCTCCGCCTCCATTCCCCCATTTCATCTCCTCTCCTTCTCTCTCCTCCTTCTCTCTCCTCTCTCTCTCTTCGTTCTTCTTTCTTCTTTCATCTCCTTCGATCTCCTCTCTCTCTCTCTATTCGTTCTTCTTTAGTCTTTCAACTCCCTTCGATCTCCTATATGCAGCAACCAAAGCTCGAGGACCACCACAAAGCTCGATCTCCTCTCATTAGCGCAACTACAGCCGCCGCCACCACCACAAAGTTCGAGCACCACCACCGGCATCAACATCAACAACAATTTCTGGGATTTTTTTTTCAAGTTCTGGCTTTTTTTTTTCGATTTTAATTGTTTTTGTTTTCGATTCACCAATTTTGGTTTTGTTTTCGATTCACCAATTTTGGTTTTTGATTTTGATTTTGGTTTTTGATTTTGGTTTTCGATTTTGGTTTTTATTTTGGATTTCGATTTTAATTTGCCTTTTATTTTGGATTTTGGTTTTTTTCCTATTTGTTTCGTATTTGTTTTTTTTTTTTTTCCGATTTTGATTTTGTTTTTTTTCGAATTTTTGGTTTCTTTTTTTCGATTTCAATTTTGGTTTTTTTTTGGTTTTTGATTTTGATTTTGGTGTTTGATTTTGGTTTTCGATTTTGGTTTTTATTTTGGATTTCGTTTTTAGGGTTTCGATTTTAATTTGCCTTTTACTTTGGATTTTAGTTTTTTTTTCCTATTTTTTTTCGTATTTGTTTTTTTTTTCGATTTTTATTTTTTTTCGAATTTTTGGTTTCTTTTTTCGATTTCAATTTTGGTTTTTTTTCGTTTTTGATAATTTTTTATATTTCAATTTCAATTTGTGTTTTATATTTTATATTTTGATAATTTTGGTTTTTTTTTTGTTTTTGATAATTTTTTATATTTCGATTTCAATTTCTGTTTTATATTTTATATTTTGATAATTTTGGTTTTTTTTTCGTTTTTGATAATGTTTCAATTTTTTGATAATTTTTATATATTCTTAAGCTTATTTTTACCAATTGATTTGTTTTCCTGTTTTAATTAGTGTGTATAGATTATGCAAGAATATTGATATGTTCATGTTGTAATTTTTTTTATTTATTTATAATGTTAGTTGTAATTGATCTATATTGTAATTTTGGATTTCATTATATATTGTAAATTTTGGATTTCATTATGTATTGTAAATTTTAGATTATATATATTGAAACCAATTCGATTTTTGTTGTGAATTGTTATTTTTTTTCAGTTGATTTTATTGGTAAGTGAAAAAAAACCAAAAAAAAAAAAAAATGGACATTTTTGGCACTGGTTAACCGGTGCCAAAAGGAGGATAAATATTTTTTTATAGTATTTTTGGCACCGGTTTTGAACCGGTGCCAAATAGGGGGGTATTTGGCACCCCCCACATAGGCACGGGTTCAAACTGGTGCCTTAGGCTGGGTTTGAACCGATGCCAAATGCGTTTTTTCACGTAGTGTGAGTGAGGAGCTGGGAGCAGGGGAAATAGGTTGATGGTGTGGTGAAGGGAGTAGGGGAAGTGTTGATTGGGTTTTCTGGTGTGGTGGGGGATAGGAGATGGTGGGGTGAAGGTTAAGGTGGGCAACGGTCAGCAGCTTAGCAAAGAATTGCACACACTTTTACTCGTCCCCGAACTCTGAACTCACTTGACATGAAACCCGGGACCCTAAACACAAAACCGAGGAGAAATCAAGATAAATAAAAATGAAATAAATAAATTAGGAATAAATAAAGTAAAAGAGAAAAAGAGAAATAACACTAAACTAATAAAAATTAAATAAATCTATACAAGTAAATACAATCAAATAAATAACAAAATAAACTTAAAACTAATAAAATCTAAACAAAAACTATACAAGCAAAGAAGTAAAATAAAATAGACTCAAAACTAATTAAAATAAATAAAAGTAAATTAGAATACTTTCAAGGAAAAATAAAGAACGAAATATAACAAATCAAAAGCAAATAAAATACGAAAATAAACTAATTCTAATAAAAATTACGAGAAGAACTAAAACACGACAAAATTACCAAATAAACAAGAAATGTTATTAAACAGAAAACAAGAGAAAGAAAGGGAAAATAAGATAAAATAAACACGAAAATGACTCTAAACATACTTCCTAAGAGTGACATAAATGTCACTTATCAATATATTAGTGGATTCCTTTGACATGAGTGGAACACTGATTCCATTCAATGATTGATTTAACTGTGGTACACTCAAACGTCTAGCCGTAACTGGAGATTATAAAGGGTGTTTCCCGGTTTCTTCATGAGTTGAGTGGGAGCTTTGGTTGCAATAAATTGGATTGAGTCTACCTATTTAGTTAGGAATGTGTCTTGGGCCAAAATGCATGGCCGTGCTCAAATGAATTACATAGTAATCATTTGTTCTGTGAATCTAACTCAGTATTTCAAGAAAAGATTTGTAGACTATTATGATCACGACATGAGATGCAATCATATTATCAAATCGACACACATTGACTTAAGGAATTTGAATATTGCGTACTTGTCTCAGACAAGTGGGAGATTGAAGGAGTTATATCTTCGATAAGTGCAATTACTAGATATATCAAGGATCACTATTATGGAGATAATAAGTTCGTTTTTTTGGGTCGTCATTGTTTGTTGCTAGATATGACAAATGATCTTTGGGCTAGTTAAATAGTCCAAAGCCCAATAGAATGGATCCTATGAGGTCACACAACAAGGGTATTGGGTTAAACAAGTAAGAGGCCTATTAATGGGCCTCATGAGATTATGACATACCATGTAGAGTGTTGGGCTAGAGTAGTGTGTTAAGGATAAGGAGTTTGGGCTTAACATTAACTCTTATTTAGAAATATGATCTACAAATAAGATCCATGCCTAGGGTTGCAGTAAGTCATAATTAACTTACAGTAAATTATAACACAAGGCAACCAGCTTTCAAAAGCCCTAAACTCCCTTTTCTCTCATCTCACTCACGGCTCTCCCTCTCCCCTCACGTTCGTACGGCCGGCGCCCATAGGTGGTGGTTCGTGGTGGTTATCGTGGTGGTTCTTGGTTAGTTTGTCTCTCTTCTCCGTTGAAGGTTGATTGAAGCGTTCAATCACGACTAACTAGCATAAGTGGAGGTTTAACTTGTGCTCGTGGACCAAGTAGAGGAATCACACTTGGTGTTCTTTATCTCCCTTTGTTCTTGCTCGATCGCACGTGGAATCACGCTTCAAAGTTACGATTATATGTTCTTTATGTGTTATGCATTAGATTTTGAGATTAGGTACTGTATGAATATGATTCATGTTTTTTCCGCAATTAGTACCTATAATCTCCTACACTTTGTTTTATTGTTATTTGTTTATTCTAATTTTTTTAATTCCTGTGTAATTTTATAAATAGAAATGTAAAAAAGGGATGGAGGATTGGAGGGAGTACAAAATTAGAGCGATATTAGCCAAAATAGTCGGATTTATTTTGCCAAATCTACTCTTATCTAGAGGTGTCAAAAGCACACCCGAACCGACCCGATCCGAATATTATCCAATTCAGATTTGGACTCGGGTAGATATAATAATTTAATATGACTTAACTTTAAATATTGACTCGACCCGACCCAACCATATTAAACCTAATCCGATCATTAGAAATCTATATCTATATCTATATCTATACTTAGTATTTAAAAACTCTAACCGGAAAATACACATATCTCCATTCTATAACACTTTTCTAGCTTCTTTTACATTAGATGTGCCACATGTCTTTTTATATTTATTTTTAAATTTTTTTTATTACACTATCTTAATTATTTTATTAAACTTATTTTTTCATCTTTCTCATACACGCTTCCTATTCATCTCCCCTATTCAATTCAACCTTTTCCTTTTCTCTCTTTAATTTTACATTCACTTTTTTTTTTTTTTTTTTTTTTTTTTTTTTTTTTTTTTTTTAACTCTTATCCAACAACTGTGACGAGACAAGCTTAAGGAATTTCTCATGTTTTCATTTTATTTATTTTTTTGCTACAATCTTTTCACTTTTTGATATTCTCCCCTAATCTTCCAGCAATGGGTACTCTTTCACCATTTTTTTTTTTTTACTCTTATCCAACAACTGTGACGAGACAAGCTTAAGGAATTTCTCATGTTTTCATTTTATTTATTTTTTTTGCTACAATCTTTTCACTTTTTGATATTCTCCCCTAATCTTCCAGCAATGGGTACTCAGAGTTCTTCATTGAACCGGCTCCTCAGCTTTGTCTCCTCCATTTGAAACAGCTTCTTAGGTAACATTTTTCTTTGTTTTTTAAGTATCACATTATCGTCGATTTTGTTATCAGTATAATCAATTTAGGGTTGTTCTGTGGTAGATTGATTGAACTATTGATTAGAATTAAAGCTATGAAGATTATATACATCGATTTTGCTGCTAGAGTTTTACAATCTGGAATTTCTGTTAATATTCTTAAGCCAGAAGATTTTTAAGTGATTTTTATATAATAATTGAGGCAAATTTGGTTGCTAATGTGTTGCAGAACCCTTTAATGCTTAATGCTTTTCTTATTTTTTTATTTTAAATTTATTTAATTTTATTTTGTATTCTGGGGTACAATGATAAGTTGATAAAGTACTCACTCTTTTCTTTAAATTCTCAATTATTCTGGTTTTCATTGAATAAAATAAATTGGAATGTGGTAATGGGTATTTGAAATATTGGTTTTTTAGGTCTTGTTTAAAATATGGAAAAGTCTAGTATTTTGTAAATTTGTTAGACCTAAAATGTTAGGGAGTTTAACTTTGCTATTTGTAATCTTGTAATTATCAAATTTTTTGATTTCTTGCTTCCTAGTTCCTATGTTAGCTAATATAGTAAGACTTTTATTTGCTTATGTTAGTTTGGTCTTTGTTTTTGTAAGAATTGTTGCTGGATATATATGTTGAAATGCAATTACATATAGGCGCATGATGAGGAGTTTGAGGCAATGGGCAATGACGTTTGCACTTCGAGATGAAGGAGAGGCAGCGTTGGACCACTGAAGAGGACGCGTTACTAAGTGCATATGTTAAGCAATATGGTCCAAGAGAATGGCATCTTGTCTCCCAGCGAATGAACACACTCCTTGATAGGGATGCCAAGTCTTGTTTAGAGAGGTGGAAGAATTACCTAAAACCCGGGATTAAGAAAGGTTCACTCACAGAGGAGGAGCAGCGCCTTGTTATCCGTCTCCAAGCCATGCACGGGAATAAATGGAAGAAAATCGCTGCAGAGGTGCCTGGGCGTACTGCTAAAAGATTAGGCAAGTGGTGGGAGGTGTACAAAGAGAAACAGGAGAGGACTAAAAAGGAAACTAGCAAGTGCTTGGAGCCAATTGAAGAGGGCAAGTACGACCATACATTGGAAACTTTTGCAGAGAAACTAGTGAAAGAACGGATGCCCCCTAGGCAAACATTTCTTATGGCTACCTCCAATGGGGTTTTTTTACATAGTGATCACCCCTCTCCCCCTGTGCCCCCTCCACCTCCGGTTACTTCTACCACAACTATGCTCCCTCCATGGCTTTCTACCTCTAATGGAGTTTGGCTGCCATCTTCTCCTTATGTTACCTTAAGTCTCTCGTCGTCTATTGTCCCTACGCATCCCCCAACTCCAGTGACTTGGGTTCCACAAGAAATGGGATCCCATAATATTGATAACTACCCTCTTACTTTGGGTTGCTTGCCATCTTGTGCTGGGGCACATCCTGAGCAGATGATCATGTCAGAGCTCATGGATTGCTGTGGAGAATTGGATGAGGGGCACCATGCTCTGGCAGCTCATAAGAAGGAAGCTGCTTGGAGATTAAATAGAGTGGAGCTTCAACTAGAGTCAGAGAAGGCCAATCGAAAGAGGGAAAAGATGGAGGAGATTGAGGCAAAGATAAACGCTCTCAAGGATGAGCAGAAAGCTAGCATTGAGAGAATCGAAGCAGAGTGCCGGGAGCAGCTTGCTGGGCTACGGAGAGACGCTGAAGCTAAGGAGCAGAAGCTTGCTGAGCAATGGGTTACTAAGCACACGCGGATTACAAAGTTACTTGATCAGATGGGCTGCAGGACTCGGGTTACTGAACCAAGTTGATTCTCCAGAGCAAAATGGACTAACTATTAAATTACATATTGTCTGTTTTTTGCATTGCTGATTAGTTTGCAATTTGTGCACTTGATGTGTTTGCATTGATCTCTTTCAATAATAATATTGTTTCTTCCACTACCATATCCTGTGTACTTGCAAGAGATTACACAATGATCTAGTAGATTGTGAGAAGTTTTGTCTCTCTTATATCCGCTTATAGATGCCTAAAAGTCGTTATACTCTCTCTATTTCATTGTATTTTGCTTGGAGGGCTTTTATTGAATTTGATAGCAGAAAGTTCAGACGAAATGAGAGACTTTTAATTTTAGTAATTAAAGTTGTTTTTGTGCCTACCTTAATATTGGACTGATTTCAGTTGATTTTAATTGACTCAGGATGGGTCAAAATTCAAATTAATTTTCGCTAATCAAATATGTATACTCTCTGATCATAAGGTGCAAAAAGTGTTGAAGTTTGAGAGGTATAAGGTCAATACTTGAGGGCATAGGAGATGGAGGGATGGTCCCCCCGGTTGGTGGGTCGATCCTCATTTCCCCATTCCTGTGATAGGACGGCTGAGAGGGGGATCATAGACCCACACAGATAAGGGTTTTTATTGGCTGGAAGCAGTTGGCCCATTTGAATAGTTTTAAAATTTCGCTTGAAAATTTTGCAAAAACTTTTGAATTTATTTATACTTTTGGCGGTGAATGATGTTGGAGGCTTTGCGAGAAGACACTATGGAAGGCCGACGATGGTGGCTTTAAGGCGAGGGTCGACGACGGTTGCTTTAAGGTGAGTAAAGTGGTTGAGAGGAAAGGAAGGGCTGATGGTCGACGTAATCAGAGAGTGATGTCGTTTAGAATATGAAACGATGGTCAGCGAAATCAGAGAGTGATGTAGTCCATACGTTGGTCGGAAGTAGTGGAGGGTGAAATAAAAGGCGTGGGTGAGCGAGCGAGCGAAAGACATGACGGAGACCAGGTGTATTGTTGTAGTATTGAAATTGTTTTGAAAATATTTTAGTAACAAAAATGGTTTTTTAAGTATTATTTGTATTATATTAGTATCAAAAAAGAATGTTTTATATACAAAATTCATATCAAATTCTTAGTTGTGGTATAGTATGGACGTAAATATCACAAAATGTTATAAATATGAAAAAGATGTTTGTTGGTAAAAAAATAAAAATTCCTGAAATTCTTAGTCACGCTTGCATAAAATGTGATTTTTAATTTGAAAAGAGTTTGTGAATTTAGATAAGTTGGCTGTTGTAAATCTTTTAGAACATGAGGTCTCTTTAACTATAGTAATTAAAAACATTTGAAAGGAAATAGTGGATACGTGATTGATGGTGAATTAGTGATGTGAGTTGATGGTAGAACACATAAATGGAGTTACTGTTACCGTCACAATGGTTTCAAAATTTGTAATATTGATGTTGGATAGCAAAATTAGGGCTGTTCCGGTTTACTAAAAACAACTGAACTGAAACTGAAATGAACTGAAAGTAATTGAAATGGATTTTTTATGAGAGAAGAAAATTAGAAACTGAACTGATTGGAGTTGAACTGAAATGAAATTAAGTTGAACAGAACAAGCCTTTAGTATATGAAAATATGAATATTATAAGGTCAATAAGAAATTGCACATGTAAATTTGGTCAAAAGTTGTTTAGTACCTACAATTTAGTTGTATATACCTACACCCTAGTGCATGTAGTACTACCTACACCCCCACTACTCACTTTCCCACTAAAGCTAAAAAAAAAAAAAAAAAACCCGGGTATAGTAACATCCTAAGCTACCAAAAAAATAAAATTAGAAGTATTTTCTCTCTCATCAAAACCTCCAAAATCTAAAATGACATTCACAAAAAAGCTTGAAATTCTCTACAAAAATCAAGCACAATTTTTTAATATAAGGCCCTGTTCTTTTGAGCTTCTAATTTAATATTAAGTATTAATTTTAAGTAAAGTAGAGCAGGGCAGAGCAGAGCAGAGCAGATTGAAGCAGAGCAGAGCAGATTTCAGCAAAGCAGAGCAGAGCAAAGCAGATTTCAGCAGAGCAGAGCAAAGCAGCTCTAAAGAACGGGGCCTAAGAGATGAAATCGCACAATTGCAAGAAATTTCTCCAAAAGAACAATGTAAAATCAAATTATAAGTTGATTTGTTCCCTTTTTGAAAGAAAAAAGTACAAAGTTATATATATATATATATATATATATATATATATACACATATATATATATATAGCGATTGAATTTTTTTAGCTGCATTTGGTAATTATCCTTTGATGATTGTGATGAATTTGATGCAATTTATTACAACTAGGTGCTTTTATGATTTTGATTCATTAAGTTTATATGATTGATTTTAGTTTTTTAATATAGAAATCTTGTTATTGTTGCTATAGTAGTCAATTGATTAATTATTTGGAGGTAATTTGTGTTTTTTTGTACAAAAATTATTTTTTATATTCAAACTAACATCTAGTGTCTTAATTGCAATAAGTTTGAAAATTTGATAGCAGGAACTGTAACATCATTTTGCAGAAACTTATTTATTGTGAATTAGCTTGTTATTCGGTTAAGTTTCAACAAGTAAATTTAATTTGTCGTAAATGTTCATTTTTGATGAACTTCATGTTCATTTGTAGAAGGACTAATATTCAAATTGTAATTACTAATTTAAAAAACATATTATCAATTATTATGGGACGGAGGGAGTAAGTTATTATGAAATTGTGGCCATTGAAAATTGAGTATAGAGTATAATTGTGCTAATTTTCTGGATTATTTGAATCTTTGTAGAATTACTAAGATTAAAATTAGTTTATATTAAAAATGACTTTTCGGTAAATGTTCATTTCCATTTTGATAGACGTTTATCATGACATTAGTACATGATCAATAACATTATTAGCTACGATCTAATTACCCTAGCTTGTTTATAATCATTCACGTATTAATGAATGTTTACTGGTATTTAAACAAATGTTCTTTTTTTTTTTTAAATACGTACATGTTCATTATCATATTGAAGATATCAACATAAAATATAATAATACATATTTATACTCATGAGCTTCATTTGAATATCATACTACGTATATACATTTTAAAAATAATATTGATATGTGTTGTTTTGAATTTGATACATACATAGATGTTTATTTGTATATTTGTGTATTTACACATATATATTAATGTATGTTCAATTGTTTATTCACTAGCTAAATTATGTTAAAAAAATAAATCATACATTATTAATTCATCATAGACCTTTGATAATTCCATTCTAAAATATAATATATTCTTACGGTATTCATCCATATGTAATATCAATCCTTATAAAGTTGTATTTTGATATATTGAACTATTATTAATTGTCATTTACTATTAATATATATGCATTTGGATTTTGACATACGTTATTTTTTATATTAATAAATGTTCATTTAGAATTTAATACATGTTCATTTAGATTTTATACATTTTCATCCTCGCATTGAAAGATTTTTATATCTTTATAGTGTGTTTAATTTGTATTCTTAATTGTTATTCAAGTGTAAATTTTCAATTTTAAATCCTTAGATGTCACGTACTTTTATTTGGAATGTGTTATTATTATTCTTTTGAATAAACTCTATAAATCTCTTATTGTATAGGATAATCAAGCGAGGAAGTTAAAGGCGACATATATATATTGTGCTCAAATTGTATTTTTCATGGAAAACACACAAGTATGTGATTAGAAGTGCAACAAGGAGGATAAATATACACTTTATTATACCAAATATAACAAATAATATTCAGTTAATTAACAAAACACATATGTGCGTTTGGTACACTTTCATGTTTATAAAACAATTACATGTAATACTATTGCTGTATAGAAATGCATTATTATTGTAATAAAATTAAGGCCAAATTAGAAAATAACACCTGCTAAAGACCCCGATTTTGTTTTTAACACCTGTTAAAAAAAAAGTTTAATTATAACACCTTCAAAAATCCCAAAATTTTGGTTTCACCACCCACTAACAGATTTTTGGATGGAAACCGTTAGTGGGGCCACCATGTACACGTGTCAGTTGTTAATTAGTTTAAAAAAAAATTTAAAAAAAAAAAAAAACCTAACCCCCTAACTCAGCCAGCCACCGCACCGGCACCACCTGCGGCCAGCCACAAACGGTGGCCTTCTCCCCTGCCTACCCCATAACCAACCAACCACCAACCACCGACCACCAGCCATCGATTTTCGCCGCCGAACCACCTCTAACACCGGAAATCGGCTCCCCCACCCTTAACCCACCTCGAAAACCGCTATCATCCTTCACAAAGCCGCCAAAGTACGGTTCCCCTCCCCAACGCAACCCCCTTAAATGGACCTCCTCCCTTCCCGCACCGCCGAAACCGGCGCCCCCTCCCTTCCCACACCACTGAAACCGGCTCCCCTTCCTTTCCCTCAACCCAGAAACCGACCTCTTCCCTTCCCACCTTCGAAAACGGTCCCAAGCTCCCGATGACTAAGGTTTCTGGGATAGGTTGGGGTGGGGGAAGCAAGGGAGGTGTCGGAAATTGGTGATTGGCGCCGGAAATTGGGAATCAGGGTAGGAAATAGGGAAGGGGAAGGGAAGAGGCGACTGGCCGCAGGTGGTGCCGGTGCGGTGGCTGGCTCGATTAGGGGGTTAGGTTTTTTTTTTTAAATTTTTTTTTTTTAAACTAATTAACAACTGACACGTGTACATGGTGGCCCCACTAACGGTTTCCATCCAAAAATCTGTTAGTGGGTGGTGAAACCAAAATTTTGGGATTTTTGGAGGTGTTATAATTAAACTTTTTTTTTAACAGGTGTTAAAAACAAAATCGGGGTCTTTAGCAGGTGTTATTTTCTAATTAAACCTAAAATTAAATTCATTATATAGCGGAAATTATTTTTTAACAACATTGAATAGAATTCTAATACGTATCATCTTACTAGGAAACTTACACATAGCTCTAGAAATGAACATGTGATGATATAAAAAGAAAATTTGTTGAAACACGAATAAACAAAAATGAACATTGGATGATGCAGTACTTATAATGAAAATGATTTAAACGCAACAGTTCTTATAAATAAATCCGATCTATTTATTTTATAGAAAATTCATGAAATTCAATTCAAAAAATACATTAATGTGAACAAATACTTCTTATTAAAAATGAACGTCTAATGATACATAAATGAACATTTTCCAACATAGAAATGAACGTGTTATAAAAATTTGTAGGAAATTCTTAAATGGAAAAGGGCGGGGACGGGG